GGACCTCTTGGACGCGCCTTGGAGCCTCCTATGGCAACTTCGGCGCGTCATTGGGCGGAGGGCTCGATTTGTGACGCTTTGTGACGCTCGGGGACCAGGATCTGCGTGAAGTGTGGAAAAATGGCCCTCCAAGGAGCGCATCGGTGCTCGACCTTCTGGCACGCGCTGATGTCCGCCATAGAGAAGAGACTAGGGCTGACCCGTGGACTCCATCCACGACATCTTTCTGGAATGGTTCTCGGAGGAATGGCGCAGATTGCACCGAAAATCTACAAACGCGGCGGCGGCTCGGGCCTTCGTGTCCGAGCTCTTGCAGCGCTCCAGCAGCTTGGCCCCGGCGCACTGCTCGTTCACCCCTCTCCTATTGAGGGCAGTTTCGAAGTCTCTCGGGGATGTGCGCCGAAGTCGAAGCCCATCTGAGGCATCTCAGGAGCGCCTGAGGAAGGGCTCGGGAGGCCATCGGGGAAAACCACCGAAAGCGTCGGGGAGGCTCGCAAGGGTGGGTCTACAGGGAGGGCCCAAGAGAGCTTAAAGAAAATTTGAAATTCAGTAAAATCTTAACAGAAACCGCTGTTGGGTCGGCCATCACCTCCGGGCACGTCTTGATGGTGCGATCCAGTCGCATCGCCGCCAACGGGAGGGCTTGTTCGCCAAATCCCATTCTGTTCGCCCAGAGGGTCTGTGGCCCGAAGAGTGCGGAGAGGTGCCTGGGTCATGTCAATTGGCTGCTGTCGCAGGGGTCCGGTCTGGTTGGCCCGAAGAGTTTGCCAAGGCCCCTGGGGGAACAGAACGGCACAGCATATCGGGCAAAGGAGGGCGGTAGCTGGCCTCTCAGACACGGTGTTCGTCTTCTGCGCAAGCGGCGCGGGGCCCACGGGCCCCAGGGTTGGCGGCCCGCTGGGTTTCCTCTTGTTCGCCCACAGGGTTGGAGGAGGCCTCCAGGCGAACAGAATGGGGCAGGACAATGAATGTGGGAGACTTGTCGCAAGCTCCCAGTCCCCCCAAGTGTTCGCCCGAAGGGTGTGGGGCCGCGTTGGTTCCCTCAAAGGGCCGTCTTGGAGCCGTCTAGGCCCGTCTTGAGGGCGCCGTTTGCCGTGATGGGGCCGTCTTGGTTCGTCGTGGGCCCCTCGTGGGCTCGTCCGCAGGCCGTCCTGGGCCCATCGGGGTCCTTGTTGGCACTATCTTGGGGCTGTCTTGGAGCCGTCTGGGGCCGCGAGGGGGCCGCCTTGGAGTCGTCTTGGGCCCCTCCTGTGCGCCTCCTTTGGCCGTCCTGGACCCAGCAGGGGCCGCGTTGGCACCCTCTTGGGGCTGTCTTGGAGCCGTTTTGAGCCGTCGCAGCGCGCCTTGGGTTGTGCTGGGGCCGTCTTGGCCCGTCTTGGGGCCTTCCTGGGCGTTTCCTCGGACCCTCCTGGGACTTTCTGGGGCCTCTCGGGGCATCCGACCGCCGACATGGATGTCCGTTGTGGGCGCGTTTGGGGCACTCTGGGCCTCCTGATGGACCCATGGTGGCTCGGAGAAGCGCTGTGGACCTATTCGGGGCCGTTCGGCGCTTCTTTTCCCCTCCCTGGGTGCCGCATTAGGGCCTCACGGGGCCCTCCGGGGCTGTCTGGGGTGCCTCTTGGGCTGTCTTGGGGCCGTCTGCGACCCTCGTGGGCGCCTCGGAGGCCGTCTCGAGGCAGTGGGCGCCTCGGAGGCTGTCATTTGGCGTCTCCGTATTTTTCCCAGTTTTCCTGGGGACGCTGTCTCCTCTGTTTCTGGCGTCCGAATCGGTCGACGTTCTGCGGCATCGTCCTGGGAGGCGTTCCTTTGGGTTCCTGGTTTTGTTTGTGGTCTAGTTTGTGCCGCTTTGAGCCCTGCATGGTGTGTGGAAGTGTAAATTTAGCGTCCCCGCATTTTTCCAGAATTTTCCGGGGACGTTTGTCGTGGTTTGTCGGCCTCAGAATTCTCAGAATTGCGTTCCAAGGTGTTTTAAGTTCACCCATCGTCGTCTCAGTGGGCCATTCGTGCCTCGGTCTTGCATCTTCGATCCCACGACGTCGCTCCTGAAAAGACAAACGTTCTGTCGCCCGTCCCAAGCCTGACGGCTCTCGTGGTGGCGTGTTCAGGTGTTCTTGGTTGTCTTTGGGGGCCTCTTGGGCCGTCATCTTGGAGCCTCTGGGGCACCGTTTTCGGGCCTCTTGGCCCTTATGTTTGGCCTTCTGGGGGGCTTCTGGGGACCTCTTGTGTTGTCTTGGAGTGCCTCTTCGGCTGTCTTGAGTCTGACTGGGGTTGCGTGGGGCGCCTCGGAGGGGGTCTTGGGGCTGTCTGGGGTCGTCTTGGACGTCTCTGGGGCCGTCCTGGGAGTGTTTTCGGCCCGTCTTGGGCCGTCTTTGGCTGCTGTTGGGGTTGTCTTTGGTGTCTCTGGGGTGGCAGGGGCGTCCAAGAGCCGTCTGGGGGCCGTCATGGGGCTCTCGGAAGCGTCTTGGGGCGATGATGGGGCTCAGTGTGGCCGTTTTGGGCGGTCTGAAGACGACAAACACGAAACATGCTAAGAGTGCGTCTTCCCAAAAATTGAAAAAAAAAAGAAAAAAAAAAAATAACAAAAAAAAGAAGGATAAGAAAAAGACACATACAATATAAAAAAAAGAAAAGTAAACAAAAAAAGAAAAACAAAGGAAGAAAAAAAAAAAAAAAAAAAAAGAGGTAAAGAAAAGAAAAAAAAAAAAAAAGAATATGAAAACAAGAAAAAAGAACAAAAAAAAAAACCTCAAGAAAAAACAGAAAGAAAAAGTCAATAACTAGAAAAAAATCTTTCTGGGAAAGCGTTGTTGGAGTTAGTAAGGCAAGGGCTGGCGGACACCCCACGCGGCAACCAGCCCCAACACACCCGCCACACAAGTGGATGCTTAGCGCGTGCACACCAACACGTGTTGATGCGAAGAGCTTTCACATCAACTCGTGTTGACGTGAAGGCCCTTCACATCAACACGTGTTGACGTGATGGCCCGTCACGTCAACATGTGTTGGTGTGAGGGGGGGGCGCTGTCAACAAGAAAACTATCATTTCATCAACGCTAGTCCTGCACAGCGCATCGATATACACGATAACACACCGTAATAGGCGTTACCAACTCGTCTGCGAATACATATCGACGTGACCAGCGTACGTAGGCTTCCTCTGAACTTCACATGTCTAATGTGCAGCGCGGACCCTGGAGCAGCGAATCTCCGAATCACGGATCTGCATCGGCGGCCGAAAAGTGCCGTGACCGAGCGGACGCTCGTTCTTCCTCCTTCTCCTCCTCCTATCAATCTTCCGCCACTCCCATCGTCCTCCCCCTTACTGACCCTCCGCATCTTCATCTTTCGATTATCATCTAGTAGGTACTCTCGGCATTACTCATCATCCGTTCAGCCATCCTCGGCCCCCCACTGGCTCATTGGCATCACCATCATTGTCATGCCATGTTTTGTTATAGTGCCAACCCCCCAACCCGCATTCCTCGCATAGCCCTCAGTATCTATCGTGCGTCATGTGTCCTGTCTCCTCGTTGCTGCGCCCTCCGTGTCATGATTTATCATCCCCCCTTTACCTTCAATCACCCATCCATCCATCCATCCATCCATTCATCATCCCGTCATCCGCATCTTACTTTTACGCATCTTCGCCCCTCCCCTGATCCTCCATTCCTCCGTGACCATCCGTATGCCTACTATTGCGTCCCGCACAAAGGGGGGCGCGGGCTGGGGTGGTGCGGGCAAAGGAAACAACGACACAGTGCAGATATCAAGGTAGCACTATGCTCATAATCTTTCATTCTGAAAGGTCAGTGGCAACACGCGCTCCCCATCTGCGCGCATTGACATCACAGTCCACAGAAACACCGCATCGACCGATGCGTGCCATGCCATTAGATGGCTCGTGAAAGCAGCAATGCATACTCGTATGCAGGTTACCTCGTACATCCTCCGCCCTCCACCGTGATGGTAGTCATCATGATTGATCGGGGGGACGCTGTCGCGGATGGTGTTGGTGATGCTGATGATGAGATGTGGAATATAGGAGGCGATGTTGAAAAGGATGGAGGTGATGGCGATTGCGGATGCTCATCACCGTCATGGTGTGTGTGCGCGAGGTGATGATGATCATGATATTCATGGAGATCGAGATCTAGCGGTCAAGATGATGATACTGATGCTGATGAGGGCTAACATAATGATGATGATGGTGATGGTAATGATTATGATGATGATGCTGGATATGGTGATTACGATGGCCATCACCCTCTTAAACGGGATAGCGCCACGGTCGGAGTTTGAGACCAGAGTAGGATAGAGAGGATGAGACCCAGCTCATCCACGCATCCTTAGTGATACCTTCCTAGGTCCTACCTCCTTCCCAATCGTTCATGTCCTCCCCCTTCCACCGTCGCCGTCCTCCCCCCTCCCCTACCTCCTCCTCGGACGTCGTTCAGGCCTAATGCCTCAGTCCCCATCCCTATCTTGAATATACTCGCCTCCGCGACCGTCATTGCGATCGAGACGGCCATGACGCGGGCGTGCCCCACCGGCTGGCAGAGCGGCGCAAGCCGAGCAACACGGGGACCACCCAGCGTCGAGTCGAGCGTCGAGTCGGGCTTTAGCCGACATCGATTCTGTTCATCCTCCGGAACCACCCATCCTCATCGTTGTCACCATCGTCGTCGTCGTCGGTCGTCGTCAGCGTCATCATCCTTCCTCCTCCATTCCCCGTTCTCCTCGGGGTTCTCCTACCCTCGGCCCGTGCAAGCGGCGGTATTCTAGCTGCCCCCCGCGGCGGCCATGGTCGCGGCCGACTGCTGCGGAGAGGCGATCTCCTTCATGAACTCGATGAAATACACGCGGCGCTCAGCATACATCTCCTGGCCCATCTTCCTGGGGCTGTGGAGGATGGGGCAGGGCGTCACTTGAGCATCCATGCCAATACTGAGTATTGGCATGGACGATAAAATAACGATGAGGGTTGCGAAATGTGTTGCAACCCTGTCCTCGTGAGCACTTCCACGTTGTAGTTCAGGACCGCCTCCAAAACATTATGGGGGGCAATCTTCATGGCCTCCACGTTCCAGTAGGGCTGCATCCAGATTCCAGCAAACTCAGTCGGCTCCACCTTCTTGGCCCTGTCCACGTTCACGTGGAAAGGCATGAACAACCAGCCCCAGGGGATGTAGACGCACTGCATGGGCTTCAGCTTCTGGATGATCCCAACATCTTTGACGACCTTCGCCGCCTCTGCGGTCTCCATGAACGCAGTCAAATCGCCCAAAGACACCCCCGCGCCGAGGATATTGTCGATCGGGAGGCTCACAAAGAAGAGATCCTCCGACAAGGCCTGCACCACGTGCCCCACTCCAGGCAGGGACACCGACGAGCGCAGCTCCTTGAACGCACCGCGCAATAGGATCGCCAGCCAAGGAGATGCAGCGGGAACACAACAGTCGATGATGCCACCGAACACATGATCATCACCCTCCACGCGGCCGTCGACCTTCGCAATGCAGCCAGTCCATTTCTTGGCGGCCGCGTGGTCGCTTGCCTCCTGCAAGCGCTCGGAGACATGCTTGTGGCACTTGGACTGGAAGACAGCAACCTGCAGGCACGCCGGAACGCACGAACTTCGGGGCCAGGGGCAACAAAGAGATGGGGGGGGTCGTCGTCGACTATTGCACTATTGCGTTGTCCTTTTGTCTGTTTTCCTCCTCCTCCTCCTCCTCCTCCTCGTCCGCGTCCTCCCCTGCCCCTCTATACTGCAGGGGTCAATCCCATCTTCTGTCGTTCCCTCCCCCCTCCTCCTCCTCCTCCTCCTCCTCCTCCTTCACGTTTCCAACCTCCTCGTTCGAATTATCTAGTCCCGTCCATTACCTTCTTCTCCGTTTTTCCCCCTTCCTCCCTTGGGCTCGAAGACCCACCGCGCCCCCTCTCCCTCGAGAGTTGCCTTGCCCAGAACGACCGTGAGAGGCACACGCGCACACGCACGCACATACCTCACACGCACACAACACACAGCGCATTGCACTTGGCATGCGGTAGTATATGTTGATAGTGTCATCGGTATACATTGTACGGATACGATGATATCCACTTATTAATTGATACAGACGCGGCACACACGTAATCCAAATGCATTATTACACGCCACGCACCACACATTACATTTGTTCCATGTGAAACACCACACATTGAATCTAGAACGTGAAACATGTGACGCACGTGTCATTTCTTGCGTGAGGTGTTGTACTTGTTGTATGATTTATTCCACAGTGAACTAGCACACGACGTGCGTACGTATGTACACAGTGAGCACACATATTCCTGAAACGAGTAAATAACACTATGCTGTATGGACCCAACATGTATCCCTAGCAGAGCGCAGATGCATTACAGCAGCGGCCAAAAACACATACGTATAATTTTATGGTGTACGCAGATATGAACATACATGCTCCGTTATGCCATATGCGCGCATGCATCATCAGGACCCCCGGGGCGCGTCCATGGGTCCTTTTGTGGTGGTTGCTGGCATAGGCTTGTCGGTTATCGGGGCGCGCAATGAAACACATCCTGGGGCATGGCAGTGGGTCCTTTCGGCACGGCAGCGGGTTCCCTAGGTTCTGCAATGGGGCACGGTTGCGTGACAACGGGCTTCAGGAAATTATGAAGGGCCCAGCAGGAACGCAGCGCATTGAAATGGAGACACACGCACGACGATGCATGAGTGTGTACGTGCATGCGCGCTATAAGTACACGCGGACCCTGCGCGCGCAGACACGCGCACACACGCGTACCTATATGTCCATGACGAACCACGTGACCTTGGGAAATGCACAGGCATGGTGACATAGCCGAGCGCACACATAGGTACAGCTAAGCCATACAGAACCACGCATGCAGACGCCATGCATAAACAACGCACTGTGCACACGCAAGCAAAACCGTAGACAGTCATACCATGATTAACACAGAACAAACGTCCAGGCTCGATCAGACAGGCACGCGCACTGTCTCCTCCTCCTCCTCCTCCTCCTCCTCCTCCTCTTCCTCCCCCTCCTCCTCCTCCTCCTCCTCCCTCCTCCTCCTCCTCCTCCTCCTCCTCCTGATTCTCCTCCTCCTCCTCCTCCTCCTCCTCCTCCCCCGTCCTCCCCCTCTTTGTCCGCGACGTCTTACCAGCGCCTCGCTGGTTACTCCAGCGTCCCGCGGGCGGCCCCAGCACCCCGCGGGTTAGTCCGACACCCCGAGGGTGCCCCCGCCTCTTGTGAATCCCAGCACCCCGCGGTGCGCCCCAGCCCCCCCCCCCCGTGGGCCCGTGGGTTACCCCAGCGCCCAGTGCGCCTTGCTGTTTACTCCAGCGCCCAGAAGGGGGCCCACCCGCTCCACCCCCTTCCTCCGTCCTCGTCATCTGCGTTCCGCCGCGCGGGCCTTTTGCGCGCGGCGGCGAGCTGCGGCGGCTCGCGGCCGCGGCCGCCGCCCAGACGCGCAGCGAGCGGCCCTTCGCGCGGGAGCGGATGGGGGCGCGCGCGGAGACACGCAAGCGCGGGGTTGGAAGCAGCGGCGATGGGGCGGGGGAATGGCGCAGAAGCTCGGCGACGGGAGAGCAGGGGGGGTAGATGGGCCCCCAGGAAGACGAAGTACAAGCCAACGGCGAAACGCCTGGGGAGGGCGGGGCCGGGGAACTCGGACATTCTGAAGCGGAGATGAAGACGGAGAGCCAGGGGGGGAAAGCGCGGCGGCGCGGCGGCGCTTCAGTCGTTCGCGCAGGGCGGGGCAACGCTGAGCCTCTGGGCGTCGCTTTCGGGCCTGGCCAGCTGGTTCCTCGCGGCGCCGACCGCGAGCCGCTCGTCGATGAGGCAGCGGGCGCCGCCGTGCGCCCTTGGGGGGTTCAGCGCCCCCAGGCAACTGCCCCGCCAGGTCAAGTCCAGGCGCTTGGTCGCGCAGTTGACCGCCCGCGCAACCGCGCCGACGGCGGAAATAATAAGCGAGGTGTAGGCGCGCTCCTGCCTTCGGT